TTACCTGTCCTGTGCAAACTGAACTGAACTGAACTGAAATGAGTAAAATAAGGACAATTATCGGAAAATCATAAGTAAGACGATAAAAATGGGTATCGTAATATGTAATTTGGGTTAGTGAAAGAAATTAATGGAGCATACCACGTATTTCAAACGATTGGCACAAGCCGCTCAGAAACCGGCCCGAAACCGATCGGTTTTCGGCTGGTTTCCGAGCTGTTTCTGAGTGGTTTCTGACCGGTTTCCTGGACGGTTTCTGAACGGTTTTCGAGCGGTTTGTGCCAGTCGTTTGAAATACGTGGTATGCTCCATTAATTTCTTTCATTAACCCAAATTACATATTACGATGCCCATTTTTATCGTCTTACTTATGATTTTCCGATAATTGCCCTTATTTTACCCATTTCGAAAGAATAAAATAGAGCGGTCTATACGGAGTTTTTCAGGACATTTCGATGAATTAAACCAGTACATTTAAATAGAACGCTGACTAAGCATCGGACATTACTTCGGTCGTCAATTTCCTTCGCATCAATTCATTGTTGATCGGTGTAAAATGGCTACTAAACAAACCGACCGAAAACCGATCGGTGTAATAGTGAAAACCAATCGAAAACAGACCGAAAACCGATCCGTGTAGTAGTGAAAACCAATCGAAAACAGACCGGAAATCGATCGTTTTCGGAGTGGTTTCGCATCGAAATTGCTACAAGGGTCGCTCCAACCTCCGTTCGTAGCACAAATGTCTGTATTCTCCGAACCGTCGCGTGAATCGCCGTTGTAGCTGCTCGAGAGCATTTATGTCCCTCACCAAATATGGCCTCCACACTTGGATACAGCTTTCTTGATGAGATCTCAAAAAGCCTTCTACAATGGCAATAAGACCCTAGGTTTCCTAGAGCGGACCGTCCTTAACCGGTGCTGAGTTCTACGTGCTTTCTGCATTACTTTCTGTCACTGGCGACTTGGCTTAAAGTAAGCTCTTATCATCGCCCCTAGGTTCCGGGCTTCTGTGATCTGAGGTAGCGCCTCCCGATTGTCTGGTGGCCCCATATATCGTGGGGGCCATGGTCCTTCCTCCTTGATGAGGTGTTTGCATTTGCTCAGATTGAAGGGAAGATCCCACGCCACTGACCACTGGTATACCCTGTCTAGATCACGCTGATCCGCCGCATCATCTAGTGCTCCTACCACCTTGAAGTCATCCGCGAACGAGAAGTACGGGTTTTCCAACCCGTCTTTTAGATCGGTAATATACATCAGGAACAGGACCGACCCTTGCGGAACGCCACCACGCAGTCTCCCATTGTCCGACAAGTAGCCTTCCACTCTCACTCGGAAAACTCTCCTTTAAACTTTGTACAATCCACTTCTGTATTTTGGCCGTAAGTTGAAGCGATTCCACCTTGGCTTCGAGCAGTCTGTGGTAAACCGAATCAAATGCCGTTTGGAAATCCAGATAGCAGGTTTCCACCCTTTCTCCTCGATCCAATCGACTGGTTACCTCATCCAAGAAACTTATTAGGTTGGAGAGACGAGAGTGCCTGTGCCAGAACCCATGCTGGTTGTCAGTCAACCAGCTTGTTCTTCTCTAAGTGTTTCACTGTTCTGTCTCGTAGTATTCTCTCGGGAGTTTCAAGCACCACTGACGTCAAGTTATTCGGCCTGTAACTGGTGCTCGTGTCTCTGTCCCCACCTTTATAAACGGGTGTAATGGTCGGTACAAGCCAGTTTTTAGGTAATACACTCTTGTCTAGTGATGCGTTAAACAGCTTAGCTAGTGGTTCAACCAGGATGGACGCTAGTAACTTCAGTGTGGCTGGGTGGATGTCATCTGACCCCGCCACCTTGGATACGTCTAGCTGCTTCAGGCTGTTCGAAACCTCTCCAGCGTTGATTTCTCCATCCTCCCTGGTGACTCAGTTATCTGACCTAATTAGCTTTTTGCATCGCGGGCATATCCAGCTAAGTCTATCATATTCACAGTATAGCCGATAGCACTTCTTGGTTAACTGCGAGCACTTCGTGTGGAACCATGTTTGACAGGTGTCACACTGAATTCCGGGTTGGGGTCCACACGACCCACTTACCAAATGGTTAGTGACATTGAGTGATATGGCTAGGTGTCGCGGCCAGTGGCGTAGTTGAATTCGGACTCTTCGTCCTCTTGATTTCCGCTTATTACTCTGATTTGTTTGGATCTCTAACTTTATGCTCCTGTTCTTTTTACCGTTTACTGGACGATGCTGGAAGGCAGCAACCGAAATCAGAGTACAGAAGTGCGAGTTTAATGGTTGAATAAACAAATTGAATTGAAACTGATGCGCCGTAAAATGGGTAAAATAAGGATAGTTATTAAGATTTCATCTTTTGGAAGGTAGAAGTGAGCAAGGTGAAACGTAATTTGGGAAAAGTGACATAAATTAATTAAGTATATCCTGTATTTCACACAGTCGCTTTAAACTGGTCGGAAACCACTCTGAAACTTCTGGGAAACTGATCACCGTAATAGTGCACACCGACCGAAAACCGGTCAGAGAAATAGCGTCAGCCGGTGGAAAACCGACCGGTTTCTGAGCAGTTTTGCTACTTGGGATTGATCTAATAAAAATGGAACCCATGTCCTCGCAAACTCCAGATTCAGCAGTTGCCAACGATGCACAATCCCAGACACCAGGGAATCCGACGGTGGTGGTTGCTGTGCCTGCGGCGCTAATAGAATCCCTCACACAAACCGTGAAATTAATGAGCGTGCAGATCAGGCAGCCTCAAAGAGGGCCCTATTCCTATTCCCAACAACTTTCGACTAGGATACAATTGTCGCCACTGGAAAGGCTAGTTGAGGAGGTTCCTGATGAATTTTCCTGTTCAAAATCAGGTGGACCTGTTGCTAAGCCTGCTGAAAGGAAAAGCATATGACATCATCGTGGATACCGGGGTCATGAACCAGATACTGTCAGAGGCGATTTTCGACAAACTTCGTGAGTTACTGGACCCCTCCGGACTCACTCTTGACAGAAAACGGGAGTTTCCTGGAAGGGGACAACAACCAAACGAAACGGTGTTAGAATTCGCAACAGCACTGCGCCGATTGGCCGGAAAGGCCTGTCTACACTTGCAAGCCACTGAGCTGGACAGTATCGTTTACCGACAGCGGTAGAAACGTACAACCTCACCCGGGATTCGGGAGGAGTTCGTACTCTGAATCCCACCAACACTGGAGGACACTTTAAAAGTCGCAACAAAATTGGAGGCACTGTATGCACATAATGAGTCGAAAGGTTGCTACGTAGCTGTTAGCCCCGAAGTACCAACAAAGACCATATTACAATTTTGGCGGTTGGAACGCTGCTGCGAACTGGCGTAGACCTCCGAGGAGGATTTTCGGTGGATATGTCTCGGAGATATCGTTTCCCGTAACGTCAATGGTGGCCAGCAGGGGCGATTTTCAGTATGCAGAACAGTTCTACTGGAGGTAACCGGTAATTTACAGTTGGGGGTCGGGTGCGTGAGAAAGCTCCAAAACATTGTAGTAGTCAGAGGATTGACTCTCGGTGTCATAGTAGGTTTAAGCCTCATGGAAACCTTTTGATGCGTAGCCGATCTACGCAATTTCATGTTACGTACATCGCAGCGTGCTGTCTTTTGTCTTTCACATTCGCAAAGAACCGCAGTTGTAGATATCCACTCCTGTCATTTGCTGCATCTGTAAAAAGATGAGGGAGCAATCGACACCTTGCTAAAATGGTCGGATGCCCCTAAACGGATGGCTGAAAAGCTGGCGACTTTGATACGCGAGTACTGGGATGCTTTTACGTGGGATAGCACCGAGATAGGTCACACTGGGGTAGTTCAGCATACTATGGACACTGGTCATTCACGTCCGATTATGATGCGCGCGTGAAGGTAATTCAGGCAATTCTGAGTAGCAATGTAATCCAACCCCCAAACACTATGGGCTGCACCGGTAGTTCTTGTGAAGAAAAAAAGATGAGTCATTTAGGTTATGCGTGGATTACCGAAAACTGAATCGAGTCACAACGAAAGACTCCTTTCCGCTGGTCTCTATTGATGAGCTGTTGGAGTCACTAGGGGATTCTATATGGTTCAGCACACTGGATCCAACGTCTGGTTATGGGCAGGTGAAAGTTGGGGAGAACGACGGGCGGAAATGACATTTGCGTTGCCTAACGGGCAGTGCAGAATCAGTGGTTGTCTGGACTGAACCTAATGCAGACTGCTGAACACTCATTTTCGTCCTGGCGTTTTGGTGGTAACATCCACCACGAGAAGGCAGTGAGTACGACCTATTCGGCAGAGGCTGTTTTAGGCGCACGGTCAATTGGGAGCTGACTGAGTCAAAACGACTCAGTCAGATCCCGGTGGATTTCATACTTTAAGAGAATGGGCAAGATTACGGCAATTCGCTGCAGTCGTCTGATTAAGAACATCGTCTCACGAAAACTGGGTGTTCTCACTTTTTGTTACAGTGCGGAAATATTCTAACCATGCTGCCGAGGTAAAAATGTAAGTAAGATAATATTCACCTCTGCACGCAACCGCCTCGGAGATTAGAGGTTAGGATCCCACCACCGCCAGTCACTTTGATGGTAGACAAAAAAATCCACCGGCTGATTACCACCCCTGACCTATTGGAACTTTTTATGGTTTTTCACTTCAGTGTCCTAGTTGCCGGTGATCCCTAATAGTGTGGTGGGCCTTTTGAAGCTATTGACATGTCCCCGCTTCACTCACGTATAAGCATGTAATGAGGGGGGATAAGTGAGTGACTACGGTCTGTGTATACAAATTTCAGCGATTCTTATTTCTAATTCATCCTTGTAGGAATGTCTTCCTCAGAATGCGGCGTTATCTGTCTTGCGGGTTATAGTTCTGAACCAAGGGTTGCTCTGGAGAAAGTTGAAATACACTGCTCCGTGACGGACTTGACGGCATATGTTCAAACTACTTGCATATACAAAAGCAACATCGATGAGCCGATGGAAGCAGCTTATGTTTTTCCGTTGAACGATGTAGCTCTTTTTAACTTTGAAGCAAGAATCGAGGACAGGATTATTGTAGCTGAATGTCGTCCGCGTGCCGAGGTAAGCATATGAATTTATCCGAGTGATTGGTTTGAAAATCAGTTTTCACAGGACTGTTTCTTTATCAAATGACGGTCACCCTTGTGCATTACTATACTCCCTAATTAAACTAGTACACTTTTCAGACTCATGTTTTGCGTTTTGATCGTTTCGCTTGATTTTATTTTTACCTGCTGTCAAATGGCATGACAGGTTTCGTTAGTTGTAGCTTATAATACCTCCAATGTAGATGGAATTACCAATTTGCTAGCTCGGAATGAAGTATTGGTTTGCGGATAATAAATTACCTCTGTTTTTGGATATGGAGAACTTTCTGGCTAGCATGTAAGTCAGGAAGTGATGTAGTTAGTCGTAATATCTTTGAAAATTGGTTATCCCATATACCCCAATGAACTGAAGGGTTGTACTGGAGTTGCTTTCCTGACTTTACAAAAGGTCTAGACATACAGTACCGTTAGTAATTAATTACGTATCTGTTTCATAAGTAGTTTCGGCGGGGTGGTTCCCGTTCTTATGGACAAACCAATAGGATAGAACCCGGTAAGTTTCGTGAGTGTGGAGAACAGCGTGCTAGCAGTTATCGAGATGTTTGCTGATACGGTTCCCAACTGACGATATTCTAAGCTAACGGAGGTCTCCATGTGATACTAATTCTTAGTTTTTGAGTTGATTTCTCATTATAAGACCCGTGGCTTTCCGTATAGTTTCGTTAAGTTGTTCAGCTTGTTCACTACATTACGGACTGCAAGCTACAGTGTTATTTCTTTGTTGAACAAAATTTGGATGAATTTTGTTAGTATTAATGTACATTTATGTCGACGGAATCCATCAAAACTTTGAAATAGTTTAACTATTTCACCCAAAACAGGTCTTCACTTGAAAAAGGTCCGTCCAATGGATGGATTTATTATTCGACTTAATAATGCTTTACTTATTTGACAATCAGTATTTTGGGTGGTAATCCCTTCCATCGGGTCTGAATTAACCTTTTACTGGCATGAGAAAATAAACCGGAACAGTGTCCTGGAACGTCAAAAGCGACTTTCTTTTCATCTGTCAAGTTGTTTATGGACTTTCAAAGCCATAAAAATAGTGTAACAAAAATTTGAAGTGACCCCTTAGAAGACACTCAGATGACTCTCGAGTGTCCCTCTGTGCTGCCTGGGGTCGCATTTTGGTGGTAATGACCGTAGAGGATGAATAACGCGAAAAAAGTATTTTAATCAGTGTTTTCTCAGTGACTGTGGTTTTTGAAATTGGATGCAGTGGATGGTGCAATTGCCGCTCCCTGTTCTCAGTCTGGTGCAGCAGGACCATGGATGTTTCTAGGAGCCCGTTACGCATAGTAGTTTACGATGCGTTGGATTATTGGTTTATTCGTAGACAGTTTAAGTTTATTAGAATTATCGAGCAAATAGTTCAGTTCAGTTCAAAAACCAGTGGCTATGATGGATTCGGCTACTGTCTCAGGGTTAACCTCAGTCGAAAATAATAAAACGAGCAAGGGGAAAACTACAAATAATATCGAGTCGTTAAAGAAAGTTTTTGAATATAAGAGCGCCGCCGATCAAAACGCCGGATCGTCCTCTAATTTTGTTAATCACTGAGTGGGGGGATCTCTTGGACCATCCACGAAGCCTAATCAAGTAATACTGAACTGTTATCAAATACTGGACGGGCCATGCAACGTCATTAGTACATGTATTTTGATAAAACTGCTTGTTGCTTGTAATTCATCGGGGCGAGTGTGTATGCGGAATGTCAATGGATGGTTTTCGTTGTCCGGATATTGTCCAGTAATGCGTGCTAGACTATCTTGGCATGATCTGCCGGGACCATATACTAACTGGTTACAGCTATTAGTCAATGTGTTCCACGAATAGCGACTGTTGTTTCTGTAGTATTGATTGTCCGCCTAATAGCTATCTCTGTTTTTAAAATCATACCATTACATTCTTCTAGTTGTTCAATTGAGAGAGCATAATTGAGCGTGGAAGCAGTTACTTGGCACTTTGTTGTCGTGGCCAATCCCTAGATTAATGAATAGTGGAAAACTCGATACTTTGTTGACGTTATTTAGCCTTTAATCGCTTTAGATGTCACATTTCTTATTCGTGGTGTATCTTCGATTACTCCTAGGCCAAAACTACCTATGACGATGCGGTGGCATCTGGGCATACAGCTTACATAGCGGAACAGGATGAAGGTTGTGAAGATGTGTTTCGAATGCGACTGGGCAACATCCCGGGTCGTTCTGCTGTCACAATTATGCTGAAATACGTAAACCAGCTGGATGCAGAGAGCTTGGTAGATGATAATATTCACACAAGAGCTACATTTACTCTACCAGGTTTTTTAAATCCGCGTTACACGCCAAAAGGTAAGTTTGTATTTTTAATACGGTATTACTGATTTCATCGTTATCAGAGTCTCGTATCGACAAGGAGTTTGATATCATAGACCGGTCTGAAACGTTAAAACCATATTCCATGAATTTTACGGGTGATATTACCATGCCGTTTCGAATGATAGCAGTGTCTTCACCTCATGATAAATTTGAAGTTGAGTGGCGTTCAACCGATCAAACATCCGCAACGGTAAGCTTATTTTTTCTGCATTTAGTGTTTTTTGAAGCCTATATATATATATGTATATATATATATATATATATATATATATATATATATATATATATATATATATATATATATATATACATCCATGTATAGATTTTGTTTCCCCCGCGTGGTAATTTATGGTGCAATTTTCACCTTGAGGGACGGTCAGAGGCAAGACCTAACACAGGGAAATCCAGTTCTGTCTCCAGTTGCGAACGCCCGAGACAGACTGGAGTCTTAATCACTCAGCATCCGCTTTGACAACACCAGTCCGTGTTTTCAGCTGTCCTCGAAGGCGATGGCTTCAGCGTGGACTTGAAGCAGAAGAGAGGCACTGTTTTGAGATCGTGTTGTGACGTCGTATGGTGTGTCCAAACCACTGCAATTGTCGGCGTTGAAGAGATAACAGCGTTCTATTATTGCGTCGTTTGAAACCATGTAATGCCAAGTCACTGAGCATCCATCTCAGACATCAGTGGTCAAGCACTTGCAACTTCCCGATGCGCAGTGGCTACGTCTGGCGACCGTAGGTGAGTATTGGGTGGATAGCGGCCTGAAAGGCGCGGACTTTGCTCAGGAGGTTAATTTTGTTGTCCGCCCAGAGTGCACTGCGAAGCTGGGGAAATGCAATGTTAGCGTTGTCGAAGTTCAACTTGGTTTTTTGTTGGACCGTTTTGAAGGATCGCGGAGGTCAGATATTTGAACGCTGGAACATTCTCGAGCTGTTTGCCGTGGACGAATAACGGTTTTGTGGACTGAAGCGCAGGCCGAAAAGATTTTGGTCTTTGATGTATTGATCGCTAGTCCCATGGCATGCTGGATTGATGCTTTCGGTGAAGTCTGTTGATGTTCAGCTGGCACTTCACCTGTGAACGTAGTGGCTTGCTGAGAGGCAATGGCATCCGAGACCGCCTGACGCTTTCTCCGTAGTCCGAATGCAGCTGCGGCAATCCGCTTCGTAGGACAGTTCTTGAGGCGGTAGGCTAGATGGGTCTTAAAGCGTCCACGGACGGGGGTGTGATCGGTGCCATTCTTGTTACCAGTTTCCGCCTCTCGGTAGGGCCGACAGTCTTCAATTGATGATGATCGGCCTGACCGTATCGAGATGTAGTCGATCTTGTATGCTGTATGGCCGTCATTAGCGCACCACATTTTCAAGTGCTCCCTGGGTTGTTGGAAGCGTGTGTTGATGACAGCTAAGCTGTTGCAGTTTGCAAAGCTGAGGAGACGTTCGCCATTGCTGCAATGCTGTCGAAGACCATATCTTTTTCAAAATTGAGCTGGTTGCTTGAGTGGTGGCGCCAGTACGGGCGTTCCAAGCCCCCGCAACAAGGAGGATGCCACGTTTTGGGGACGCAATTCACCGCCTCTTGTAGTCTGTCGTAGAACTCATCTTTTACCGCTTCTTCGGCTGCCACCGTCGGGTCATAGACTTCGAAAACTAAATCTTTCAAAGGTGGGGCGCAAAAATGTACTAAGACCATCCAAGGGAATATTAGGTTCCGTGCGAGCAGTGTCCTGAAGGTCTTGTTGCTGACAGCTGTTGCAATGCCGTGGTGACCGGAGTTGTCCGTAAGTCCGCCGTGATAGAAGTGGTAACTGTTGTCTACTCTTGGAACCTTAATACACCGGCAGCCGAACTTCGGAGAAACATTCGACTTCGATGCGGCGTTCATGTAGCTTTCGTGCGGTGATGGCTTGGCTTCCGATGTACAAGAGTGTTCTCACGTTATGTTGTTTCGCGTTTTAAGGCCCCCAGCTATCATATTTGTCACCTCGACCGCGGATAAGACACGAGGTGCATCGCCTCCCGGGGATACCGTCCCATGGGTGATGCCTGTAGAAGAACTATTCATGAAGAGTCTTGGGATATAGGTATGTAGTATCGTCCCCGGCGTCACTCGGTTTTTGTTCGAGATAGCAACTCTAGCCCGTGCACAACCAAGTGCTGTCTGTCGGACAACAAGTAGTTTGTGTTGGGATCCTGTGACCGAACGAGCGGTTTGGGTGTCGGACTGCCAGTGGAGGATGCCCAACGCGCCATAGTGAATCTAACCCCACTCAAGCTAGCTGAATAGGAGGCAAGATGTGTTAAAGAAAAGGCAGACGTGGTGTGACTGCAAACGCATGTATTAGAAAAGTGGACGATCAAACAAGTTCACGAAAGGATTGTACGTGCATGTGCGTGCGTCAGTAGAGTCAACTGACTACGGATCGATGAGCGCACAAAGTAGACGAGAGTGGACGGCATAGCAGGGCTGAGAAGAAAATCGAAGTCCGGACCGAGGCTGCCATGCGTGGCGTAGGAATCAATACGTGCTCTACAATACTCCCTCCCAAAGCATCGGCCAAATGCTTATGGATGCTCGTGGAAACAACTACGGGAATTGAAAATGAACAGTTGGCGTACTTCTGCCCTCTAGTTTGGGTTGGTACCTCGAAATATCGCCTAGTCGAGAGCAAAACGAATGAAAGTATAAGGGGCGAGCAGAATAAAAAGGAAGTTATAAGAGAAAATCATGCAGACTAAAAAAGAACCCGAGTGCAGTTACGCCGCTGATGGAAGCACCAAGTAATCTCACTCGATGTATCCAATGACCAGGTGAGCAGATCTCACGGATCCCAGTCCGAAATCCTAAAACGTCTTACTTGCCCAAGTCCACTGGCTAAGGTTTTCGTACCTTTCTACCACCTTTTTGTGACCCTTCGTCTACTCCTTGCTTCGGAAAACAGTGTACGCCGAGGGAGTTTATCACTGACCATGCGTAACGCATCTCCCAACCATGTTAGCCTGTTTAGATTGAGCATTTGCTTCAGCGAGTTACCTCTGGTCCCCAACACCCTACGTCTGACCTTATCACTGCCTGTACGTTGTTCCTAGTATGTTCGAACAGCAGTGTGAAAACATCGACCCTCAGACACCGATCTTCTCCGTGTACCCATAACGACCACGTTCTTTGCCGTATAAAAGGAAGAACCTAAATGCAGCAGTGCACATTGGACCGTTGACGGACAGTCAGATTTTAAGCCGGCGCCACAGTTAGTTCAGCTTGGCAAAAGCGGGACACGTCCTCCGTATACAAGCGACGTGAGGCAAAGTGTTGAGAGCCATTTTGACCAGATAGTTTAGGTGCATCTCAATTATGCACTCCGGATTCTTCTCCCAGTTGGGGCTCGACGCATATGCGCTACTTATAATTCCAAGGACTTCCGTGGCTTTTAATGACCAGTTTACCATCGATAATGTGTGAAGAATCATATTAAAAATTAGAGTGGTGTAGGTTGATTGCTATCTGGGGCTCGGTATTGTTCCAAGAACACAACGAAATGTACTATAGTGATCAGAGATATTAGATTTAGAGAGGGTAAATGAATTGTCATAAGGGTAGGGAGTGGTTTCTTGATATTACCACAACGCATTTTACCGCCTTGGATTCATTGTTTTGGGGTCAAGTGTTTGGGACCTTCGACCAGTCAATAAACACCACGCGATACCCACATTGCTTGCTCCATCTGTGGACCGTATTCACAGCATATATTTGTACTTGGAAACTCTCGTTTCTGGCTGAGTTTCAAAGGATACAATCGTTCATGTCCTAATTTTATTAACCTTACTGTCCGATGCGTTATGGGTTGTGATTTATCGATTCATACTGAGAGAAGGTTTCCGAAATTAATGATGTGCAAACACACGCAAAACGTATTCCCCTGTAATCGAAGACTTTCGCGTCGCTGTCACAATCGGCGTTTAGCTATAAATTCTTGAAGTCAGCTAACAATGATTCCGCCTGGAGTGCGACGACCAGAGGACATCGATAATCAAAAATGCTGTTAACGCTCAGCGAAAAGATAAACTAGCCATATTAGAGAACGCTTTAAACCGCGGTGTTCCGCTGATCCCTTCAGATTAGGAACCGTGCTAGGTGACACTCGCTATCCTCTTTTGACCGTCTGGCTGTGATCCGCTGGGGCAATGAATGCAGCTTTTTTGAATTCTAATACCTGCCAGTAGTAGTTGGATGGGTATCTCATTTCCTAGTGACGATACCAAAGGCAGCTTGTTTCCAATTGATTTCTTCCTTGCAGTATTCATTTCTCTTACGCCAAAAAGCAGAGACATTCTGCATTGTATTGCTACTTTCTGTTGTTGATGCTAACGCTGTTGTTTTTTCTACTCGTTAGTACCAATCTTAGTATCCTTGGATTTAACTTTTTTGTGATCTGATCAGCGTTGGGGATGTTATGTTGCGCATGTGTGAGTGCATAACTTGTCGTTACTTCCTGAAAAATAAACCCAGACATATGGGGTTGAATGCATCAACACAGCTAAAAGGCACTGTCATTGACTCTAAGATCTCGTATTACCAATATGTGTGAGATTATTCCCCTTCACGTATTATTCATTCCCCTTGTACATTGAAATTCCATCATATAAATTCACCATTTAAGGAATGTTTTTCTCTTCTCTGTATGGTAGGTCAAACTATCCGCATTCCAGCCAGATCACGATTTGCAAATGGTGATTGATTTTGAGCAGAAATTGGATTCTTTTGCCGTTTGTGAATGGGGCGATCGTCAAGCGAATAACATTCTTTCCAAAGACTGCATTATGGCTCAGTTCATACCCGATTTCACGGAGTTTGTGAACGAGATAGAGACGCGAACCGAGGTGTACTTTATTATTGACCGCTCTGGTAAATTTATATGTTGTATGGCAGTAGTTATAATCATGTTTATTGGTTGCTGGTCTTAGAAACTAGACACTTGCATAGATTCGCTCAGTTAACGGTTATCCAAAAGGTATGGTTTAATTTTGTACACTGGAAACATCTTTTTTATACCTTACATCTCTTTGTCTGTCAACCGCTTAGATATTTGTCGAATATGTGAAACGCTGTCACTTTGCAACCGTATTTCTTCGTCGTTCAAAAGTGATAAATCAACGAAAGGCATAGGTAAAATCCTAGATAGGGATACTTGCTTAGGTGCTTAGCACTGATGTGTGTTTATCAGAGAGGGAGAAAGTTTTGATTGTGAAATTCGGTACGCATGTCCACAAATACACGTTCCTGGGCCTCGTTGTTTAACGGAGCAGTTAAAAAATGGAGAAAAATAATGTTTTCACAGCCTGGTAGTGATAGGAAATGCATGATCAGTGCAGTAGTTGAGGTGATCGGGTCAGGTAGAGGAAGCCCAGTTACTTGACGCCTGTGAATGCTGAAAGTACAGTGATGCGTCACTGTCGCTGTCATTGGCACATCAACACCGTTGTCGATCGTTTTCTTCTGGGAGGGGAAACGGGGTGGGGTGGGGGAGGAATGGGTGAGTTGCAAACCTTCAACTGAATCTGAATTTGAACTACAGTATGATCTCAGGTGTGGTTTGTCTTACATGTGAAGTACACAAGCATATGAGTTTCTACACAATCTGGTAACGTTTAACTGTTTCGTAATATTTTTTGTTTCTAGGCAGCATGAGCGGGAGCAATATTGAATGTGCGGCAGAGTCACTGTTACTGTTTCTCAAAAGTCTTCCATCAGGCTGCCGTTTTCAAATTATCGGCTTTGGTTCTACTTATGAAACACTGTTCCCGGAGTAAGTTATTCTCTCTGTTCATTGAGATACAATGTTTTTGTGTGGTTGTCAGTTCGTAAAACAAAGTGCTGTCTACCGACGGCTTTGACTGACAATGTTCGAACTTCCTGTTTCAGATTTGGTAACCGGCGCCCACCATCCGTTTACCCTGTCCACCGTATACATTCTTTGGTTAAAAAAAATTGAAAAGAAACCGTGCATTGACCCTGGCTTAGGGTTATTTTCGTTCATTTATATTATCGTTTTAGCTATTCTTTTTGAAGGTTTGTCTTTAACATACTCGAATAACGATGGATAGGGACGCAGACAGACATCTGATTTTCTCATTTTGTTTAAAACCGAGGAGCACATGAACCAGCATGCTTGAACATGTAAGTAAACACATGATGCGCTATCTTATCGTTTATTTGTTTGTTTTTGTAACAGCTTAACTCGATGAAACTGGCAACGAGATTGGTGCAGTTGGGTGCAATGAATTTGTGTCAGGAGTCAGTTCTTCAGGGGAATTATTCAGCATGGTACGGCGTGCAACAAGGAAATCTCAATCATTGCTTAGAAAACAGTAGCTTATAAAACCTAATGCACAAATCAGATTGCTCGGTTAAAATGTGCCAACTAAAAGTCCTTTGTGGACCAATCAGAAACGCGATGCACCGGAACAAAGTCATATCCAACACAACGAGTAGCAACTTTTCGGACATCACCTATGACAGGATGAAACACCAACTCACCTAGGTCTCATGTGTAGTTCTTAATAATTCTCACCAATAATTAGTAATACATACGTCATATCAGGTGTCCGGAATCAAACTTTGTGAGTGAACCATAGCGGCAAGAGTTTGCTTTTCATAAGCACCACATACGATGATATATATGGTCAGCTAAATCATTCTCATATACGTGATCGCGTTTTTCAGGAGGATCTATCAGTGTCAGTGTTCTCACCGTTAAAAGCACTGGTTGAAACTATCAGCAGATTGCCTCTTCGGTACACGAACTCGTAACGTTCAATCCAATGAATCCATGCACACCCTAAAGGCTACTCAAACAGGATTCATGTGATTTTTTTGCAGTAAGGCTCGAGGTAGGCTCAAAAATTGGATGCACTCGAAAGTTTCATAAGTCGTTGTCAGCCCACCAAGATAGATCCACATAAGTTTGCTTCATGTGAATAGCGGATTATGTAAGTCAACCACAACTGCCATCCGACTTCGACAGAAATCATTTGATTGGCTTGCTAGATTGGCAAATACGGATAGAGGTACTTCGCTGGCTGAGGCACGGAGATGATTCTTTTTATTTATTCACGTGGTAAAGTCCATTAGCTGAGACCTTCAAACTTCCTGCTGCGCGGTGCGCTGATCACGGCTGATTCTGTAACCCACAACATTGACAAAGCTTGCTGGTCTACATACTAAGGTATGCTGTTCGAGTTTCGGGTATGCATTGTATTCTGTAATCAGTTCACGATTGATAACTATCCACATAAACTGTCTTGTTTGTTGACATGAATCGTACAGAAAAAACAGCGCGCCTCCACTAATAATCATCACGTGATTCATATGAACCCATCTTTATCACTGAATCCATGTATGGGTTGGAGCTTCGTCTACCGTTCTTTCACTTTTTGATCGGGCTGAAAGAAGGGCTGTCAGGTTAATCAGCATTCCCTCCCTAACCTCCATTCTACAGCCACTTGCCCATTACCGGGAAGTTGCTTCACTATCTCTTTTCTGCCGTTAGTATTTTGGCTTTTTTCATAGGAAATCACTTCGGCAACTCCCCTTCCCATGCTTTTCTCTCGTTCGTCTCATATGCAGGCGGCCAATCATCCGTATCATGTCTCTGTCCTAGATGTCGAACTTCCTTATTTCAGTCTTCCTTTATTTCCCGTGCTGCAAAGCTTTGGAACACTCGCCCTCTTCCCGTATTTACAAAAGCAGGGTCAACAAACTGAATCTCACTTGAATGTTCTTCACACACACCCCCTTTACAGTGTCTTTTGACTATGGGGTTTACCCCTTTTACCATAAATCACTTCGCGTTTAATAAAAGGAAGATGAGTCAAGGTACGGGGGATAGATGGGGTCCACAAAAATCTTCTTGGCAAATTTCTCACGGGCTAGAATGTGTAAATCGTAAACTTGAGACATAAAGCCTATGGGAATCAGAAAATACGACTGATAACAACTGAGTCGCGGTTTAGGGAACTGAAATCTTTCTTAAGTAGACCGGGAAAGATCACGAAGGAGTAGTAGAGTAAGATTTGGAGAATACAGTAATGGACCATAAAAGAATAACAGTTTGTGTGTCACCAAATTGCTTTAGCCCACGAATTTGAAAAGACGGTCCACGTAGTTTTTTTTACACAATCAGGAATATGAGAAGACTGAATTGGTGCCGATTGTAATGCCTAAGTATTTGACAGAGTCAGCTCTGGAAACGGGCATTGCTGATGATCGATTGCTCGTTGAGGTAAGAAGAACGAGCAAGGGATAGCATACACTCATTTTGAATAGTTAAGATGTAGTCCATCATGGGGCGGAAAGTTCTGAATATTGCGTAAGTTGTTGACAGTTATTACAAAAATTCGCCACATCTCTCACCTGATGCGACCAGATGTTAGCCGCTGCTGCTAACATCTGTTGTCCAACATGTCCCAGCTCATGATGTAATTCCGTCAGCACCGTCTCGACAGCATTCTGAGGCACCACTATCCTTTTCATATATGTGGGTCCATACTGAAAGTACGGGATAGCAGTCACAATCAAAAAATGTTCCCACGGACCCCAACTATGGCCGGCCATTTCTTCTCAACTGGGTTTAAATCCAGCTGAGAGAAGCCGCTGGTAAACATCCTGCACCGAAATTCCCCTATTAACGTTTTTGCCACCCCTAAGACCGTGATGCCTGCATTGATAGCGCAGCCACGTGCCCCTCGATATAGGAAGGACACTGTGCATGGTGCTGACATGATCGTCGAGATAGTACATCGGCATTCTGGTGGCGATTTCTCGGTCGGTGAGTGCACTGTAAATTATACTCCTGAAGTTGCTCTTTCCATCCAGCTATCTGCCCTGCCACGTCCTTGAATATCTTTAGCCACACTAACGCTTGGTGACCTGTTCGTGCGACAAACTCTCTTCCGAAGAGGTAATGTTGGAAGTACGCTAGAAAGTACACCGAAGCAAGGATCTGTTTTCGGGTTGTACAATAATTTCTTTCGCATTTGTTCAAACACCGGCTACCATACGCATCCACACGTTCCACACCATCTTTCTTCTGAGATAAAGCCGCACCAATCCCTACGTCGCTTGCATCGATATCAAGGACAAGTAGTTCGGCACCTTCAGAGAACTTTGGGGGAGCTAAGATCGGCGGGTGAGCAAATGCATGTTTCGAGGACTGAAATGCTTCATCTCACTTGTTGGTCCATTTAAAGCCTTTTCGTTTTTCTGTCGGTTTATCAAGCGGAGCTGTGATCTGAGCGGAGTCTCAGACAAACCGTCGATAACGTGAGAATAGACCCGGGAAGCTCCGAATTCGGGCCCAATTCTTTGGTATCGATCATTCTTATATTAGTGAAATCGTTTCAGGATCGGTCTGAACACCCTCACGGCTGATGATGCGTCCGAAATATTGAACATTCAATCGTAAAAATGGTATTTACTTGGTTTCGGCTTCTAGCCTGCCGATTGCAACCGCTCGAATATGCACTTTAGTGTCTCGAGATGGTTCTGAAACCTCTGACTTTGAACGATGATGTCGTCTAGTTAGACCAGGCACCTTGTCGGTGTGAGATTATCCAGTACCTTTTGAGTCAGACGCTGCTGAGCAACTACCCGTTTTCACAGGTCACGTGGTACGATTTCTCAACCGTCACTGTGTTCGTTTTCCACGCGCATATAACCCGAAACAGCTAGTGGTGGCTTGTCACATGTCCCCTCGTGACTCGTCGAATGCACTAAAAGGTATCGTGTCCCTAACTCCAACTGGGTGCCACACTTTCCGACAAATGGGCCGATGATTTTTGAATATGATAAGTATCTAATTATCGAATCTAAGGTACGAGGATCAAACCCGGCCACCAGCGGTCAACTTTATTGGTTGTTCATTTCTAGTCCCAGCTTGATGATTACCTGTTCTCTGTTAGTGCAGTGGACCCTTATGTACATGGGTTTGCCCCTGTCACGTATGCGTGATTTATTCCGGTCCTTGACGCATCTACACCGACGTGTCTTCAACTAAACGGACTTCAAACGCACGATGGTTTCTCTCGTGACAACGTAATATCAATGGTATTTGCACAGACGCTATGGATAGTACGATAGAAACGGGATATAATGGACATGTTATGGCAAACTTACATCCGGCCATCTGGATTATATAGATTTTCATGATCGTTTCACCTACGTCCTATCTTCCTTCTCGGTTATCTGTTCTGTAAACTGTTCCTGTTCTTTTATGATGTCAGCGGCATTGAGTATTTTCTCACTCGGAGAGAGAGAAAACTATGGATCACTACTTTCACATTGTAAGGTTTCAAGCCAAGTGAAGTCAAAATGTGGCCTCATTCATCCCAAGGGATGAATTTTCAGCACTATGCTCATTACCCGTTGGATAATCTCGTTGTATGAGAATAATTAAAAAGAATAAAATAAATACCCAATTGAAGCAACGGTAACAAAAAATGATTGCAAGAGGAGTTAAGACAAAGCGTTTCTGAGTTCACCGGTGGCGGGTTGTTGATGTACCTTGTAAGATAAGGCAGAACAGTTAAACGACTGGAGGTTGTCCGGGATTAGGAAGAAACACCCAGTTAAATGCATGTGCAGTGGATGAGTCGGGTCCGGTAAGATATTGGTATACAGTTTTTCGGAAGGAGAAATGTGCTTTTCTGCAAGAAAGTTGGTTACATCAAGACGGGAGTTACCAGTGCATCATGATATAATTTTGATAGTCTCGCGCAAGATGACGGTCTTTCTTCCTAAGACCAGCAAAGATAGCAGGGGAACAATAAATAAGGTGTGGCATCATGCAAGTAAGTACAAAACGTTTAAAAAGGTATTATGGAGCGTGTAAGCATCTCAGGCGTAGAATATAAAACGACGATCGTCGAATCATTGTGAATGCATTGATTTTGTGCTTGGACCACAAGTGGTCTTAAGAAGTTTTCACACCGTGACATTTCACTGACCGAATTTCGGGTATTACCTTGTTGTCAATACGTAAATTAGAACAACTATTTTCGATTGAATATAGACATCTTCCCTGGGCAAGTGAAAACAGAATGCCATTACATTTGGATATGATGTGATGACATGGACCACTGAAGATAAGGAATCACTAAGTTCAGAAAATTGAAAGTAATCGTCATATGTGGACCCGGTGACAACATCATCATCGTACTTTATCAGAAGAACATTAGGCTCTTTTCTTAAGTTACGAATGTAAATTGAAAAAAGGGTGACAGAATGGCTCCCTGAAGTACTCTGTATTAACGGGTAGAGAATCAGAGATATCGCCCTTGCATGTTGTAAATTGAGTTCTGTTAGTGAAATAGTTTCGAGTCAGCGAGAATAGAGGTGGGAGGTGTGCTTGCGTTTTGTAACTTCGATAACAGTAGAGGCCTATCAATACAACTAGATGCATTGCTGTAATCAAAAAAGCCCATGCGAAAAGGCTTTCCGGTGCGATCAAGGGAGAATAAAAAGAAGTTGACCACATATGCGAAAGCATCTACCGTGAAGCATATTTTTCGGTGAGCAAACTGGTGGTCGTCCTCAATATCGCGGGTGAAATGAACCGATTCTTTTGGTATTGGGGTGCTATGGACTGGTCCCTAGTGTGTGGAACAAGGCACGAAGCGTTATCCTGAAAAAGTATTACCTACCCAACTAACTCTTTCACTGAATTCGAGACGTTCCCAGTCACAGCGGTGAAGATTACCCCATCATCTAATTAAAGTCCACCAGCAAAGCTAAGCGTGTTTTATTCCAATCCAAATCAATAATGTTGGTCCGTGGGATTATATATATATACTCTGCCGAATGTCTATATATATATATATATATATATATATATATATATATATATATATATATATATATATATATATATATATATATATATATATATATATTATATAGACATTCGGCAGAGTAAATTTTCGGACGGAAATGCCTACAGAAAATGACTTTCTATGAGCCTTCTAAAGTTCACCATATACCAAACACTCATACGAGAAGCAAGTTCATCACCAAAATGACAGGCCTCGTGATTTGAATCCCCTGATCAAACCAATACGTGCCCTCTTTTGTTGGGCTTGCAGTACAGCCTTCATATCACGTGATACTAGCCATATTGGAAATTACCGCTACCTGTTGTCCAACGGGGAGTCAGAGAGCCTGGGGATATCCCCCAGCTGGATTAAGGACGACGATTTCCGGCACTGTTTTTTCAGCGGAATGCACACAACATCGCCTTATTCATTCGATTTGCTAGTTCTTCTTCCTCTGAAATGTGTATTTGTGGTGGGGTTTCCGTTATTTACCCGATATTTGGATAGTCCTATTTACGTTAAGGCACTGAGCAAGATATGACGAAAATGATTAAAAGTTATAGGCCTCTGAAATTCTGCTTCGGCGCTCTTTATGAAGGCGCCGAGAAAACTCAGTTTTAGTGGATCCTTCCATCGCTATCGCGATAATAATATGAGCGATTGACAATGCGTATTCAAATGATCTTGAAGCCAACGCTCGTATTGATGCGGACTGAAAGTCCCATTCTTCGAAATGTTTCACAGTAATCGTTAAGAAGCAGTTTTGAAGCGCATATAACGTAAAACCTCCAAATAATAAAAGGATTTTCCTTGACTCTCATATAGGCACAACCATGTAAACTGTATTGGCCGGAAAACAGCATCTACCAAAATATCCGGATGATAAACCTGTCTAAATATAAAGTAGAATAATTTCTGTGGTCCTGTTGGTCAGTTTAATTACATTTCCGTACCTTGTTAATTTTTAGCTGACTTTGCTTAAAGCCTTTTACTCTAACAACCAAGGTCACACACATTTATCTACCCATATCGCGGCAAAGAATCAGCGTAAATAAGAGAAAATTTTTAATGAAATAAGACCATTACCCGATGGCCTGATGTACCTTAATTAATTCACGAAGCTCAAACTATATACTGAGTTAATTTTCTAATGCCGTACAATCGATACTACCTGTATTTGGTCTATTGATTTACCTCATGTAGCTGGTACTCTACGTTCAACAGCATTTCTGATTTATTGTTCTCATATTATTTTAGGAATGCTGGGCATCGGTGCTAAGATATCGATGACTTTCGTGTGTCTTCTACCTACAGAGACCACGTTCCTAAGTCGTATGGAAGAGCTGCTCTAGTTGCTCCAGCGTACACCGGGGTGGCTTTAGGTTTACTCGAGCTTACCAGGAAACCAATTACGTGTTTTGAGTTTACAGTAGCTCAGCCGCATTGTGGCAATCGTTTTAAAATCCCGTCGATAAACGGAAGTGTGACGAGATTAAGAACCGTGGATCTGACAAATTAATTCGAATTTAGGATTCTTGACTTAAAAGTGATTGGAGTAGTCTTTTTCAGGTCTGTGAAACGACGCCTCTGTTCGGATATGCTCTGGTAGAGTCATGTCTGTTGACTTTGTGTTTCATTCTGTTATTTGGGTGGTACATATGATGACCTGTGTGCTATGGCATTGAAGCGAATGTTTTTGATGACTCATATCTCCAGTTGAATTATCACCGATGAAACTAACGGAGTAGACATGTGAAACATCTGACTAGATCGAGGCTAAAATCTCCTGTAATAACATTGAGGCCATCTGAATGTGGTGTGGTTTGATTATTTCTGACTTTTAGACCGGTTGAATACAATGAACAGAGCTTGGCCCGTGCGATCGAATGTCAGAGAAAATTGGAGGCTGATCTCGGTGGTACAGAGGTATACCCGGCTCTGGAGGAGGCGCTTAAAGCTCCTTTAACGGGTTCCGGTTGGTATAAGCAGATAATCTTCTTCACCGACGGGGATGTGTCCAATGCAGACGAGGTCAGTTTTTCTCTGTTGCTTTTATTGCAATTTCTTGGGACTCTGTTCAGCTATCGGGATTGTCGCATATTTCATATCGTGTGCGTTTTCGTCATCAGATTGTCCTTTTAAATGGTTGTTCTGTACTGACTCACCATTTCGATGAAGAAGACTTTTTTTGCTTCCGGACCATCTCGGTTCAGTAGTGCATCATAGAGGACGTTGAATGACCGTATTCATTTCATTCACAATAGCTAATTGGTCCGATAGATTCCGTGATCGCATCTTCTGATTGATTAACGGGACACCAGGTGACCGCATTCAAAAACGTCGTACAAAGCGCATTGATCCAGAACGTTTCTATACCAGGGTCTTCTGATTGACTCTTTTAGTTACGTACTCGATTGGGTGTTTTCGTCCTGGTCGGTTGAAACGACTGTTAATAGTTCATTGGTTGATTTCGTTTTGTTCGAGTAAAACAGCTCTTGACTGTTGACGGGCTGATTCCGCTCGGTTTAGTGAGAATGATCTTTGGCAGTTGATTGGATGACTTCGTTTCTTTTCGTCATCAACTGACTGAACCATCGATCCACTTCCCTGGCTCCAGCTTAGCCATTGATTCCGGACAGACTGTGGTGTCGTGATTGCAAACGAATCAGTCAGCATAAAATCAAAAAAACAAATCCCCTAAATTGAGGCCTTGTCAGATTTGTTATTTAAGTACAACCGTAAACAGAACGGAAGGATTATAAGAACGTTGACATCAAAACTGAGAACGAACAACGCTGTAATGTGACATTGTTCTCCACTTGGAAGATGGTGGGTATTCTCGAACGTTGGAGGGAATTGTTTTAATTAGAGAACAGCAAACCAAAACAGGGATGTAATCAAGGATTTAGGCCTCCCAGCTTCGCAAAAATACGGCTGGGTTCGTTGTTGCTGGGTGATGAGTTGTGTGGCAGTAATAACTACATGTGACATATTTTGTTGACTGTTATGTGGGTAGTATATTGTGGTGTACTGGTTGACATATGGGGACCAGAGGCACATTGAGTTTCGCGAGGAATATCCTCTTGGGGATCTATCTGATGGTGTAAAACAAAGTTATCAGGTTGTTGTGTCCCTGCTGAAATCAGCTCTCTAATCGAACCAGTTTCCTGTCGCCCACTGAGGAAGCGTACTCGAGCATACTATAGGTTGCATTGGACGAGCTTCGCTTCATCTACCAGTGGACCATACTTCGTTGGGTGAGAATTTCTGCTGGCAAGAATGCGACTCGGCGTTGGTAGCCAAGTTGACAAGGTGGTACCGACCACGGATTTGCGACGGTGCGAAAATAAGCTTTCATTGGGGATAGCGTTTGTGGATGTGCAGAGCCGGGACCGAACAGAGTGTAAAAAGTCAAGGAGGACGTCTTCCCAGTGAGTAACAAGTAATCCTCCGGTCTTGAGCCCGAACAGAATAGTGCGCCATAGTGTCGCATTTAACCGTTCGACTTAACCGTTTTCCTGGGAACTGTAGCTAGTGATCGTACTGGTTACGATCCCCTTTTTTGTGGAGGAAAGTCCGAAGTTCTGAAGACAAACAAGGAACCCCGATCAGAAGAGACAAATGAAAGCATGCCCGAGTTTGAGAAAAATTGGTAAAAGTATCTGATACCGACGGACGAGGAAACATTGAATCATGCAAAGGCGAAAGGAAAACGTAAGTACTGGTTAATACGAGTGAGTAGATAGCGATTGTTGGGACCCGATGGCAGTGGTCCTTTAAAGTCGATACTTAGTCTTCCGGAAGATTGTGTCACTTTGATGGAGATATCATGTGGCGGGTTGAAGAAGCGAGGCTTGGTTTCTGCACAAGCTGGGTATTGAGCTACCACAGATTTCACATCATGTAGGAAATACGGTAAGTTACGTGCCCTCACAAAGTGCATGACGCGTGTAGTAACCAGATTGCATACTGAACTGTGAAGTTCCTTTGGAATCGGACGACAGACCACTGAGAAGCAATGGACTCGTTACAGGATATCAGCCACATGGCTTTCTTTGCCGGGGCGGTAAATGTCATAGTTGAAACACGGAAGTCCCACTCTCGGACTAAAAATTTTTTCGTTAATCCTCCTGGAATGTTCCTTTTTGTACATGAAGGCAACTGATCTTTGATCAGTAGTCATTTTGAAGTGATTTTCCAGTAAGTAATGACGCCGCCTTTGTATGGATTCAACTATTGCGCACCCCCCTCTCAACGGCGGACTGATTCCCTTCGGATGGAGATAGAGTTCTTGAGAAGAAGGCGGCTGGCTGATCATCTTGACTGAGCATGGCGGCGACTGCCACTTCGGGAGCATTTGTCTCTACTACAAGTGGTATGTCACGCGTCACGACGGTGACGGCTGCACTTTCGAGCTCGTCTTTCAGCGTTCGGAATTCATCTGCAGCACCAATCAGTAGGGGGAAGGCCTTGTAAGTGAGAGTGTATCTTATCCGAAAACCGAGGGATCCAGCGCGAATAATGTGCGAACAAACCAACGACACGTTGCTGAGACTCAGCGTCACTGAGTAGTTTCATTTTGCGCAGGCACTGAAAACGATCCGGGTCGGGTCTGGTTATACTGTTCGAAACCTCGTAACCGAGCAAACGCATCATACGCGTCGTGGTGACAGTCTTATTGGCATTCAGAGCAATTCCATACTTCTCAGCGGTTCTTAGAAATTTCACCAGATTAGCATCGTGTTCAGCAGCATCGTTACAATATAAGGTGACATTGTCAACATAAGCAAAAGTATTTTTTCGGGTGTTTATTAGTAATGAGGTTATCCATGATGTATTGAAAATGAGCGACGCCGCGTGAACTGGTAAATTCTGCCCGCCGCTTCGAAAGCAGTGGACGTTTTGTCTTCGTTCCTTACGGGTATTTGACGACGGCACTCTTCAGATCCAGAGTACTGAAAATTTTGTAGTGAGCTATTTTCTGGATTATGCCGTCAATTTGAGATAGCAGGTACGCGACCAGATTTGTGAATCAATTAATAGTTTGACTATCGTCTACAAAAATTCTTTTTCTTATTTGAATTGGTAGTGACAAGCACCCGTGCCCTCCGGGATGATTCTGAAGGTTCTATAATACCCCCCACTAAAAATTTATGAATTTCGGTGTTGATGAAACACTGATTCTCAGGCGATTGCCGACGAGACTGCGTTGTAATGGACCTGCAGTGCAGGGTCCAATGTTCTAGAGCGAATGGGGGCGGGAATGATGCGCATTGCCAAAGGTGCACCTACCGTCAAAGGTGGTTTTTGTCCAATAAACGATATTTTTACTCGTTCAGGAAGTTCCAGGAAGTCATGACCCAAAAAACATCGGAGCAGAGATTATCGAGGAGGGAAGTTTTACCCGATCCTACGCACGTTGTTTGCATTGGAGTGTTGCATGACAACATTCATGGCTGACTCTGGAGAACTGAGTGCACTTCATAGAGATTTTGTTGAAACACGGCTGAACATCTCAGGGCAGGCAACGACTCGCCGTTAACCGTGACGTCAGCAATAGCTCGCATCAGACAGCCAGGGCTGCACCGTTCAAGGCCGATGCGAGTGAAACAGTGGCAGAGATGTTTGCTCTCACCGATCGCTGACTAGAGCGACAGACTTTCTGGAAATGGCCTAATTTCCCGCACTTGTTGCGCATTGCTTCTTGAGCAGGGCGTTTGGTTCTGGGATGACGACAGTGACCACAGAAAAAGCAGGTGAAAGTATTGACTACCGAAGTGACAGCCTCAGCTTTTGGTAAGTCTGAAGTCGATTCAGCTTTATCAGTGGTTTTGAGCTGTTTCCACCAACTTAGCTTGTTCTTTGGTTGTTTACAGATCGAGTGTTCTCTGTTGAAGTGACCGTTGACGTGTAAATCATCATTGTCATCGTCGTCGTACAGCGTTAAAGAGCAGGGTGAGCCCCACTGACCACTGCCTTTCTCACCATGTTGCACGCAGAAATAGAAAGAATAAATATGCAAGATGGACACGGAGTAGCCCTACAGGAGCGGGTAAACGAAAGGACGCCCTAGTAGCCAACACACGGAGTACATAGTCTGACTGTACAAACGCACAGTGATCAGTTTGACAGAAATTAACAACACCATCGCCACTGTTCACGATTCGCAGCCATATCCATCAGTGTATCCAGCAAACTGGTTGAGGGATCTTTAGGACCGCAGCCACAAAGACGTGAAGCACATACTCTCGATGAGGAACGAAAACAGTGCACGGTACGATAGATGTGTGTTTGCTGTACACAACACGTGCCCCAACCAACGAAGTCTACTAAGCTGGATATGCTGTGATAAAACATTCTCTGAACTGGTACCCAATACTCTACTTCTGACATCAGCATTACTCACTCGGTCATTCTGTAACGGGAAATACTGGGGCAAGGGAACGACGTGAAGATGAAGGCGAACGGACGAACCAAATGAGGGCCACAGACAAAAGAACAGACGGTGAATATGTTGGAGGCTTCCCGAAACAGTCGAAGAAGGCATACCGACTAGCAGAGGGGAGATAGCGGGATCTCCGGCAACCAGCAAGATAGCCCAGATGAGGGGCTGCCGATCAAGCCGTCAACGGAGATAATCGGACCAACCGGATAGAAATGACGTTCAGGAGAAGCAAGCTATCGGCCACGAGCAACTGGCCAGAACGCAGCTGAAGTACTCAAGCAGCCGCAACAGCAATGTTGGTGCCACGCAGTCTGGAAAAGGGCCTGTGTAAACGTTTGTGTGTTTTATGACTTGACTTGTATGGCCGTTGGAATACAAGTATCCTACCTGGCGTTCTCGTCTTTTCTTACAATTCCATCTAATCTTAGCGGTACTACGCAAACATCGATGGTAGAAAACCTCAAGGCGACGAACATCTTCCACACGCAAATTCCATGTCTCGCAACCATGCAACAGAACTGGGCGCACCGCGACACGGTACACACGACCATTCAATTTTAGCGAAATATCAGGTCAGCGCTACAAG